GATTTGCTGGACCATAACATTTTGGTAAACTTCCATACTATCTTCCTGAATAAAAAAATAAAATAAAAAAATATATAATTACAATTCTTTGTTGAAATCATCCATTGTTTTATTTATTTTCTCTAACTTTTCTCTATTTAATTGAACACGAACAAAAACAGTTCTTTCTTCATTTCTGAATAACTCCAATATCTGGATCATCTGCAGATCTGCTTCTAGTGTCTATGTTTATCTCTTGGTTTTTGATCATGCTATCTTCTCTTCTGGCATTCTTTGTAATTTTCACATGATGTCTCCAGAGAGGGTTTCCCTTTCCTCCCATAGCAGATGTCATGGTAGCTGATCACCCTAATCCAAGCAGGGGTTGTTTTGAACTGAGGCTGGGTTGTTGCTCTGGTAAACCTCAAGCTGTTTATGTCCAAGGGCATAGCTCTCCAGGGTTTTTAACTGAGAGGTTGGCATTCACTGGGGCTTTTCCCTCTGGCAAGTTCACAACTCTAATCTGTATCTTGTGAGATTGCCAAAATGTCTGCTCTGCTTTTCAAAGCCTTTCCAATGAGATTTTTAGCCTCCCATTGTGCAGAGCCCCAGGAATTGGCAAATATCCCAATGGGATAACTGTCTGTATGCATGAGGTTCCTCTAGTTTTCCACAAAGACTCTGCTGGCTTCTTGTTCCCAGCAGGGGCTCTCTGCCAGTACATGGTTCTACTTCTCAGACCCCTGCCCATGCCCAGAATCAGCAAATCTCCCCAGGGTAAAAGAGGCTATAAAAGTCAGCTCGCTGTTCAGAGGTTCTTTTAGTTCACCTTTACTCCCGGGGTTCGCCCCTTCAGAGTCTCAGCCTAAAGCATGATATACCAGGGTTTCTACCCTTGGCTGGATCTGGACTAGGTTTCTCTTATGCTAGACCCATAAGATCGTGTATTTCAGGTCATACATTTCCATGCAAAAGCACTCACAAAACAAGGCTCATCTCTCTCAGATCTTGATCAAGTAATTCCTCCCTATCTTTCTAACATATATATATATATATTTTGAGTTGGCGTCTCACTCTGTCACCCAGACTGGAGTGCAGTGGCCACTCCTGGCCAC